TTAGTTTTTTATTTAATTTTTTATTTTTTAAAGATTATTATTTTATTTTTTAACCTTTTTGTTATGTTTTTTATATACGTAACACACTAAATAATAAAAATTTTAAAGTATAAAAATTAAAAAAGAACTAATAAAAGTTTTTTTTAGTCTCTTTACTAAAAAAAAAAAAATTAATCACTTAACTTTAAATTTTTCATTATTTAATGTGCTATGCATACAGAAAAACAATAGAAGAATTAAAAAAGAGGTTGAAAAATAAATTTTAAAGACTAAAAAAAACTTTTTAAAGTAAAGTGGTTAAAAAATTTTATTAAAATAGAAGAATCAAAATAAGGTTTAATCTTTTAAAAAAAAAATAAATAAATTGGCTTTGGCTTTTAAGAACCAAAATGCTACCGTTTGGGCACATCAAGGATTACAGTTGGAGAGTTTTTATATATATATATATATATATAATTATATAATATTTTTAAATATATGTGCTTCATAATTTATTTTGAACTATTATAATTCAAAAAAAATAATATACTATATGCTAAAGTTTAATAAATTAGTGATAAAGTTATCAAAGCATATATTTTCTTAACAGCAAAGCGGTTTTTTTTTATTAATGGGTATGAGTGTACTCCAGTCCTTAACCCAAAATTTTTCAACAGTATAGTTAAAACTTTAAAACCAGCATATAAGATATTCCTCATCTTCACATGACTCCCAGAGATAATTTAACAAAACATCCTGCATATAGTGAAGAAAAATTTATAGGGATTGGGAAATTATACCAGCTCATCTAGAAGTTGGTCTTCTTCAATCAGAGGGTTTGAGAATAGAAAATGCAAATATCGTAGAATATACAGTAAATTTTACTAAATTGATGCACTTTGGAACAAAATATAGAATTTGAGATTTTAAGTGGTATCACTATTGTACCTAAAATCAAAAGGCTGAAAGGTATATGTTGGGAGCAAGTTGGAAAATATGCAAGTGGAGAAAAGGATTTTAGACTTTTGGGCCTTGTTTGAAAGCAACTCCTGCAGAAACGTATATGCTGGGCTGAGGCTGTGGTCATCAGTGTTTTTGTCGAGACTATCAATTTGTT